AATCTGTTTGTTTTCCTGGCAGTCCATGGTACGTTCAATACTCTTCTCCAGCACCACAGCTCAAAGGCGTCAATTCTCCTTCTATCCTCCCTAGTCACTGTTCAACTTTCTGATGCATAACAAGTGATTGCAAAGACCATGGCCTGTATCAGGTAGACCTTAGTTTCCAGAGAGACACCGTTGCTCTTGAGTACTTTAGAGAGGTCCCTAACAGCAGACTTTCCCATCGCAATACGTATGTCCTCCAAAATGACAGACTCATGCCCTAAGTCCTGGCACCTGTGAGTGTGATCTTATTTGAAGGCAGCATCTCTGCAGTGTAGTTAGCATAGTCATATTGTATTATGATTGATCTCATAAAAAAATGACTGATATCCTGAAAGAGAAGAGACACAGTAACTGAGATAGGAGGCAGAAACAAAGTGCCACAGCGACAAGCTAAGGAACTCCAAGGAGTGCTGACAACCACCAGAAGCCACAAGACAAGCACAGGACAAAACCTTCTAGGGAGAATCTTTGATTTGGAACTCATGGCCTCCAGAAGTGCAAGAACAAATTTCAGTTCTTTTAAGCCATTCAGTTTTTTTATGGTAACCTAGGAAACTCATAACTGTTGGCTGGAGAAGTCGAGCGGCGCAGCACCGGTATTCTTCAATCACCAGCAGGGTTAAGGAGAAAATAGGAAAGTCAGACTAAAGACAAAGCCAAAATCTCTAGGGTCACTTAAGTTGGGAACAGGCAGTTCTTTATATTGGACTTCTGGTGATTTCAAGCCTGTTCAAGAGGCAGTTTGCTAAGTTCAGTACCAAGCAATGAGCATTACTAAATGAGGCTTTTCCATTAACTCTAAAATGCCTCAACCAGCTGAACTAGGGAAAAACGCAGGCTGACAAGAGGGGAAAAGATGTTCTCTAAGGTCTGTAGGTTGGTAGAGCCAAGAGTGTGATGACTTGATGAAAGGTGTAAGATCACAGATTTACAAACTAAGACAAAAGTTATCAGACCAGGATAGGATCCATGCTGAGAGGGCACTGATCTAGTGATGCCTCTCAAACTCAAAGCTTTAAATAACACTTGACTGTCAAGTATCAAAGAGGCCATAAATCAGTAAACCCTTAATTTTTCTCATCAAGTTTTCTTCCCCACCCCAAGTAGCATTCAAATTGGTGTGGTGGTAATTCTGTAAGTGGTCAGGGCTTTCTCTTTTAGAAATATTTACAATGAATGAATGGGAACCCTAAGTCTCTGTAAACTTTCATTAAAAGTAATTAAAAAAAAATTAAATGAAAACTAGAATACTAGCTACTTATGGTGGAGACAATACAACTTGAAACCATCATGTCACCCAAAGGATTTTGGAGGGGACTAAGTTCTGCTTCTAACAGCATTGCTAGCTAGTGCTTCATGTCAACAGGAAACACTTGGCTGAGAATGATTAAGATAATTAACAGGGAAACAATAATTTCTTTTATTGAGTGTTTACTGTGTCTGTATCTGGCCTTGTGCAAGGGATTTCCATCTACACTACTCCATTTACTCTGCACACCAACCCTTGAGGTAGGCATTATCCTCATTTTTGTGAGATGAGGAAGAGGAGGCTCAGGAAGGTTAGGTAGTTTGTCCCAAGTCACACAAGTAGTAACTGATGGAGCTGGAACGGAATACGAATTCTCAAAACCTCCTGCTCCCTCTACTGCACAGCCTTTCAGGAGGAAGAAGGGAGCAAAAGCAACAGTTCTTACTCTTCCTACCCTGAGAACCAAGAGGTTCACCAAAGGAAGGCGTCTGTACTTCTCCACAGACCTTCCTCTCTCCACCTTGGGAAGATGGTTAAGAGGAGTCAGTTGAAGAGGTAAGATATAAATACAAAAATAAATATAAGGGACAAGTCTCCCAGCAGTGAGGATAAGTAGGGCCCACAGCGTGGGTAGGTTACTGTGTCACTCACAGCTGCTGTGGGAGGGTGCCGCTTGGCACGCAGGTCCTATGGGGATAACTGGGACAATGGCTGCCAAAGGCTGGAGTAGGTGGGCCAAACAGGCCCCTTCTGGGTCTCACAGATTTGAGAACAAAACGTCTGGAGCAGGCAGCAGCCGTGGGCAGTCGCCATCATCTTCCATCTGCTTGTTTTACCGATGTTTGTGATCCAATAGGGATTCAAAATCAGGGGAACACACAAGTTTGTGTTTCACATGTCCCAGGACCGTCATATCACCTGTCCTGCTATCTCCAATGCCCACGGACACCAGCTCCTGTCAATCAACAGAGACAGTGATGAGAACCAAAGTCCACATACCTCCCATTACTAAGGGCGATGAATTTTAATTTTCTAATCTCAAGAATTCTACTCCTTTATTTAGAATCCACTCAATTTCTTGAAAACCCTCTACTCTCACCCCGAGGGCACTCACCTGGAGGAAGGAGCAGGAAGTGCCCATTGTTACATCCAGAGTCACCTTGCCCAGGAGGAGCTGCACCTTTCCCGACTTCCGGATAAGCAGTTTGCCAACCTGACCCTCTGTCAAATTGCCAAGAATACAAGTGTTCTCTGCCAGCTTGGCTTCCTATAAAAAGAGTAAGGGTGAGGAGCTAGGTAAATCTTATTCCAGCTCCAAAAAAAAGGCATCAGGCATCAAAGATCTAAGACTGAGCTCCCCAAAGAGGAGCTCTTCCTATGGCTGACTTCCACTGGTTTAAAAATAAAACCAAAAGCAAACAAAATTAACAAATGGATAAAACCATTTATAGCTGATAAAACTGGATGATGGTACAAAGGGTTTATGTTTTCTCATTGATACGCAAATCTGAGCCCGAAGCCCTTTTCAAGTGCAAAGAACAAATACTTCCTATTCTCTCATTGCAGCTTGAGCAATGCATCTTTTCAACCCCTACTGGTCACTGTTTCTACTCCTGGTCCCACACATTTTTACAAAACTCGTTCCTGATCATACCCGATCTTTCTCCTGCTTTATAACCACCATCTGTCCATCTTCGCCCTGCACTTCTGTCTTGACAGGCTTGACATCCTGAGTGGGTGGCTGGCCAGGGAGGGTGTCTGGCAGCTGGAGGAATAATAGTTCTTCCTCCTTGGTGAGGCTCAACTCTTTGAGCAGCTCTGCCACAGATACATCTTTGGGGAGGCCTGGCATCTTCTTGATTGCTCTTGGGGGAACCTTCATCTTGGCCTCCTCTTCCTCATCTTGTGGTTCTTCTTTCACTGTTCCAGAAAATAATAAAAATGAAAGGGGTATCATGTGTCCACCCTTTACATCCTATCACTTATCAATCCCCCCTTCACCCCATCTGCTCCACTGTCGCTCAGCCAGGAAGCTAGATGTAGACATTAGTTATAGAGAAGGACAAGGAATAGCATGTGATTTATCTAAAAAGGGCTAGCTGATGGTGGGCCCACTGACTCATGCCAACATTTGGAACCTTCTGAGAAAGAATTTAGTACTTTTTACTTCAGGTTATTTTACAGCTAGACCAGGAAACCAAAAACCAAACTAATCTCACTGCTGTTACATCCTCCATCAGGTTTCTGAGACTGTGTAAATCTTGTTGTGAACCTAGTTGTTAGCAAGGGTCTGGCAGGTTCTGTATAAGGAATTCCTCGGTCACAAACTGTGTAGCAGGGAGGAGCCACAGAAGAGCAGAGAAAAAAGTTGACTGACACAGAATACCTTTCACGACAGGCACATCCACCTCCATGTCCTCTTCCTTGGGGCCTGCCAACCAAGGTTTAATATCAGGCTCTTCATTCTCATCTTTAAATAGCCACCCCGAGTGAGCTAGAGGCAGCTGCACAGGCATGTTTCGTGTGTCATTCCTCAGCCCAGGGTCATCGATGAACTGTCAGAAAGTTGGAAAAGTCACATGATCTGACGAGCACTAGTACTGGCAGTAGAGACCACCAGAATCTTTTGCTAAGTAAGGATTCTCAGGATTCTGGAACATCAGAAAACTCTTCATCTCCTGACTTCAGCTCTCCGATAGCCCTTTCCCTCCTCTCTCCCGCCTCTCTCCCCCTGCCCCATGGCACCTACATCGTCCTTCTCCAGCATACGCAGGATCTGTTTTGTTTCTTCATCAGTCTCCCTTTTCTCTTTTTTGATGTTGATGATATGAGAGGGTCCCATGTCTGACATATCCACTGTTTTATCCCAGTTTCCTATGGGAAATCAGCCAAGACACTGAGATAAGGATAAGGCCAAAAGCAAGGAAAACTAAACCAAGAGCAAGGGAATTCCATTGCCTTTGCTCTTCTCCAGGCAGTCTGAACTGAAACTGCTTTCTCTGAGGAGCCCCATTGACCTGTACCTTTTTTCTTCATCATTTCTGCGGGTCCCTGCTCAAAGATAGAATGGGACTGGATAACGTCTGGGCGACCCCGGCCACGTCCATGTCCTTCTCGCTGTCGTTCTCGGTCCCTTTCTCGCTTCTCCTTTATAACAGTTACTTCTTCTTTAGGTCTGGACAAAAAGAACAAATAAGAGAAAATACTCACTCTGCCTCAGGGAACATGTCCTAACCTCACAAATAATTTCAAATGCACAGTGTTTATAAGTCAATAGTCACATCATAGGGAGAAACAGAAGCCAGTGCTAAATCAAAAACGTTTTTCACTTCCATGATGGGGCAGAGTCCTTTCAGTAAGCTTTGCTTTACCTTTTTGATTAAGGCTATCTGATAGAGATAACTCAGAATGTGAACTACAGACACCGTACAAATGCTTTTTTTTTTTTTTTAAATTTGTTTTTAGAGCATAGGCTCAAAACAAGGTGCCCAGAATCCAAGGAACTTAAGGGGAAAAAGCATTTCTGTCTAAACAAGCAGCTCTAAAGTCCAGCTGTGTAAGCGCCATTCCACTGCTAAATTATAATGTCTAGGGATGGAATCTCTGGCATCATTAATTTTTTTAAAAGCTTGTATACTCAAATCACCTAGGAAACAGGGATGAATAAAATCACTTATGAAAAGAATGAAACATACACATTTAAATTTCTGAGCCACATCCCTTTAAGTGTTCCAAACACACAAAGCCCCCAAATCAGAACAAGTAAATAAGTGGCAGGTTATTCAGAAGCCTAGCTACTTACTCTTCCTTGATCTTCCGACTGATGATGTTTGGGGTGAAGGTTTTCTGAAAGTAAAATACAGGAATCACTGTTTGGGCAATTACTGACCTCCAAATATAGAGGAAAATAAAAATTCTCAATGAGCAAGCTAATCCTAGTACTCTTCCACACATTTGACCCTGTTGTCAGAGATCTGGAGGTAGACACAGACCAGAAAATGACGACTGTCATGCTATGCTGGCCGAGTTACACAGTAGAGAATAGGACAATAAAAACCATTTCAACTAGCTGCCTCAGCTTTTGTCCTCGGGAAAAAGCAGCTCTTAAATTTCTAAAAGCAAAAAAATGTATCTAATCTCACCTCAAGTCTTCAAAACGGCTCTAGCCATCAGTTCGTATCAGAGAAAGGCAGCTCTAATAGCAAGGTTCAAATAAAGAAAACAGGAAACCTGCCAGTACTCAGCTGATAGTTAACAATGTTACCCCAATTTTAAATTATTGGCTGCTTGATGTACTGTCATTCGTGCCCTCTTTTCAGGACTCCGTGCCACAGGCATAAACAAAAAGTGAGGAGGCACAAAGCCTCTACTCCATATTCTGATTCCTTCAGGATCAGTTTCCATACTCCGATCCATGGAGACTTCGGAACTCCCTAAAACTGCAGGCAGATGTTTATGAATGCATGGCTTTCCTAAAGGTGCAACAAATACAAAGCCAAGCAGCACTGCTCAAGTTCCTTTGGAATGTACTGGACTAATTAAGATTCTCCATCCTTCAGCAGCCTCTGGGAACCATCTTAGCATCTTGTGCTCAGCAATTAGACTTGAAAGTTCGACAAGATGCCCAGAATTTAATGAGGGGTAGGAGGAAGTCTGGGCACAAGATTAAGAGGGGCTGGCCATCGCACTGGCACACAGTAGGCTTGTATCAGTTTTAGCTGAATCCCAGGAACCTTGAATTAAAGAGAGTTGGATTTCCTTAGAAAGGCTACCTTCTTGACTCCCCCGAGCGTGAGGTCTCTGGAGCGGACCGATGGAAGGCGGCCCGGGGTGAGGGGAGGTGCTGGCCGCCTCCCAATAAGCCCTCGAGTTCCAGAGAGGAGGGGCCGGGACCCTCCCGGGACGCTAGGCTCGCCGGCAGCGTTTCCTTCCGACATATTGCCTGAAACAAATGGGGAAAATGGGTAACAATGTCACTCGAGGGGCTAAACACGCGAACCCTGGGCGTAACCCAACCACATGTCCTCCCGCCCCCTGGACAACTCCTCCCTGTGCCACGTGGCAAGACGCCTCGGACCACCCCGGCTTGGGGCTGAGCTCCCGACCCTGGCCCGCTGCCCTGGCTCCCTCTCCCCCAGATCTCCAGCACGAAGTGGAGACGCACCCTAGAATACCCGGTGCACCTGGGCTGCAGCTCGATACCACGCGCGTCACGACTTAACCTCCGACACAGCCGCTCGGCCGGCACTCAATCTCCACACAAGGCGGAAGTCTGCGTGGCAAGGCCCGGGCGCCGCCATCTTGCCGCGGGGCGGAAGTGAGGTTCTGTGGGCGGGGCCTGGCCACAGTATTTATCAAGCGGCGCCTCACTCACCTCCGCCTTCTCTTCCCGGTTCTTCCCGGAGTCGGGAAAAGCTGGGTTGAGAGGGCGAAAAAGGATGAGGGGCCGGGTCTAGGTTACGGGAAGATATAGTCCGATACTGTGCTTAGGTTCTGCCCCTTAACTGGATGTGGTGACGAGTTCAGAGTCTAGGGACCCTGGCAGCCCCTATCTCACAAGGTGGGAATTCGCTTTGGCAAAGCGAAGCGTCGGGGACCAATGGGGTCTCAGCTCGGAAGGGGCGAGAGGGGTGGGGCAGAAAGTAAGAAGTGGGCTCAGTTTTATGGCGCCCTGGGCCTGGACTGCACTGTGGCCTTAGGTTCGGTTGGAACTGTCAGTAGTCACCTTGGAATGGTCACTGCCTGCAGGCAGTGGCCCGTCTTCAACTCCTGCTCGGATCCTAGTGTGAGGCTGCCAGAGCCTGGGACGAGCTGCGAACTAACCTGGGTTTCTGCCGCACCCATGCAGGTCTCAACGACTGTGCGGGTCACTGTGTGCACTCTTGGTGAGAGTCTGAAAGAAATCTGGAAAAATGAAGTTTGCAGAAAGGCGAATTTAAAGAACTTTCCACCGTGACTTAAACGTTTGTAATTTAACATTAATGTCACACCCTTCACACTCAATCCCTGCTGTCGAGTAGGGATTGCCACCCTTAGCGATCACTTTGGGAGGAGACAGCCCATCCTCTCGCCGAACCACTGTTGGATCCAAACGACCAGAGACAGTTGCAGGGTTTAGATTAGCATTTGCTCAACTCGCTCGGATTGGAGCTCCTTACACATCATATGAATCCATGCAACAAAGTTAAGAAAAAGTCTGAGAAAAAAATTTCTTCTAGAATTCTACCATTTCCAAAGTGAAACCCACTGCCCACGAGTCAATTTTAATTCATTCATACCAATACCACCATAGGGTGCTTCTGTTAAAATTTTGGTTATATGCTCTAGCACCTTTACCAGAATCTTCATGTTATACCACAGTTTTGTAGCGTTTTTCAAGTAGCATTTCTTTGTTGCTGCATCCAGTTGAAGTGTTCCCTGTTGGATGACGGTGTTGGAATCGTAACTCTAGGTTTATTGTCAGAATGGTGCAACGTTTGTTCTGATGTACATGAAGTTCCTGTGAATCTTAACCAACTCTACAGTTCCTAACAAGAAAGTACCTGCAGAGACTCATCTAAGGTGTGGCACGTGTGGCAAGTGCCCAGAGCTCACTTGAAGAGGGCGGCAATGAGCAATTGTCATTGAGTATTGCAGTTTCCATCATTAATTGTGAGAGATCATTTAGCAATTTAAAACTAATTGCTGACGGTACTAATATCCGATGCTCTGTACCTGTGGATGTACTTCTGCCTGGGAAGAAGGCTTTCTTTGTTATGTTAATAGATTATATCAATGTCCTTAACTCAGTCACTTCTGAATTATAAAAAAGAGCATATCAGGAAAAGAGAGATGCCACGGGGAGTTGATCACTGAGGCAAAGAGATACAGAAGCTGAGACGAGAATCTTCCCTCCCCCTCCCCAGACTTGACAGAGCTCTGGATTTGGACATCTAGCCTCCTACACTGTGAGAAAAACAAATTTCTGTTATATAAAGCCACCCACTTGTGGTATTTCTGTTACAGCAGTACTCAGAAACTAAGACAGGTGGGCATATCATTATTTACCTATCCTATTGTTTGGACACTTAAAATCTTCCCCCCTTTGTTGTAAATAACTGATTCATCCAATATTTTTTTTCTTCTCTTAGATTATAGGAAAAATGTTCAAACTTACTAAAGAATTCTAAAGAATATGTGCATTTTTTAAAAAGTAAACTGTTTTGTTCTGAGAAAATTGCAAATTCACTATAATTGGAAATAATGCAGAGTGCCATTTACTTGGATTCCTCCAGTAGTAATATCTTACAAATCTGTGACACAATGAAAATAGTAACAGTGATACAATCAAGATACAGAGCAGCTTTGTCACCACAGTTGCCCTTTTATAGCTGTGCCTACTTCCCTGTCTTCATTCTTTCCTAACAAACACTAATTTATTCTCCATTTCTCTCGTTTTATTACCTTAAGGATTTTGTATAAATGGATGCATTGCAGTGTGGGACTTCTTAGAATTGTCTTTTTTCACTCAGCCTAATTCTCTGGAAATTCTCCAAGTTTTTGCATTCATCTATAGTTCATTCCTTTTTGTTGCTGAGTATTCATAGTACATTTAACACATTCAAACTGCATGACAGTGTGTTTTGCCACTCCCCCTATGAAGAGCATCTGAGTTGTTTTCAAATTTTCACTATTTTGAAAAAAGTTTCTGTGAACATGTGTCTATAGTCTTTGGGGAAACACATGTTTTTTTGTTTAGGTTGTTGGGGTTTTTTTCCCGAATAAATGCCCAAAAATGCAATTACTTGATCATGTTAGATAGTTGGATGTTTATTATTATTGTTGAGTATTGTACATTCATAACCGACCCATAGCTGACCCTCCAGAGGGTTTCCAAAAGCAGTATATCACATGGGAGGAGATTGTCCATCTTTCTCCCAAGGAGCAGCTGGTGCATGCAAACCGTGTACCTTTGTGTTGGCAGCACAGTTTCTTACCACTCAGCCACCAGACCTCCCTATTTCCTCAACTCATTGTGACCCTGTACACAGGGAATGAGATGCTGACCTGTCCTGCTCCATATCCATGATCAGTTGTGAACCGGACTTTGTGTGATCCATGATATTTTCATTGGCTAACTTTTAGGAAAAGGAAGACCCTCAACTAAATGGGTTGACACAGTAACTGAGGAAATGGGTTCAAGCATACTAGGGATAATGAGGATAGCACAAGATAGTGCAAGGGTTCAGTCTGTTGTGCTTAGGGTCTCTCTGACTTGTAGTTGACTTCACAGCACATAACAGTAACAATTTTTAAAAGATTACTAAGGCTTTCCCCCCTAACATTAGAAACCCTGTTGAAATCTGTTCAACATCATATTGTTAGGAACCATCCGATTGGCAGTGACTCATAGCATCGTTATGAACAGCAGATCTGAACCCGTGCCATCAGCACCATCTCCACCATGCTCCAGCCCCTTTTTACAGTCACTGTGTCAGTTCATCTTGTTGAGGGTCTTCCTCTCTTTGTCTGAATCTCCAACTTTCCCAGTATGATTTCTTTTCCCAAGGACTGGTCCTTCTTGATAATATGCCCAAAGTAATGTGAGATGACGTTTCACCATCCTTGCTTCTAAGAAGCAAGCTGGTTGCACTTCCTCCAAGACAGACTTTTTTGTTCTTTTGGAAGTCTTGGGATATTCTGTATTCTTCTCCAACAGCCCAATTCAAAGGTACCAGTTCTTTGGTCATTGTTAATTATTTTCCAACTTTCAGACACATAGGAAGCAATTGAAAAATAGGATGGCTTGTTGGACTAGGTGCACCAGAGCCTTCCCCCTCCCATCACCATAGTCTTTAAACTGATTTTGTTGTATCATAGCAACACACAAACCTCTACTGACAGAAGGGTGGTAGCTGCACATGAGGTACATTGGCTGGGCAAGAATTCTACCACTGAACCAATAAGGAAGGCCTCAATCCTATGCTTGGTTTTAGAAGAACCTGCCAAACTTTCTCACTGTGGCAGTACATTTTATGATCTTTCATCCATGTTACTAAATTGCTTTCAAAAAGGATTGTGCTAATATGTATCAATCTTAGAATATATATGTAATAAAATCTATATGAAAGAATATATATATCTCATTAAAATAAGGGTTTACCATATCTGTTGAGTATTGACTCTTAAAATTTCAAACACTTCTGCCAACCAGAGGCATACAGTTTGGATCCAACAGCTGCTCTGCAGGTGAAAGATGAAGTCTCCTCCCTTGTGATTTAGACTCTGCAAACTTGCTGGACCTATGAATTGGTTCTGACTCAATGGCACACAACAACAACAATATTATATATAAAAAAAGGAACTCATGCAATATTATTCAAAATGGGTGACCCTGGAGGACATTATGCTGAGTGAAGTATCTCAGTCACAAAAGGACAAATAATGCATGTTGCCACTGTTGTAAAATAGGACTGACCTTGGGATTGAGAGGAGACTGAGAAAAACAGGATAAATTATGTGTACTGCATTGAAACAGATGAAGGAGAAAACTGTTTAAAAGGGATATGTGATTAGGTATTTTTGTCATGACAGGAGTCCAAAGTGAAGGCTGCATAGTGGAGTGGACCTGGTGGGAAGGATTGTAGAACAATGAAATAATTTTTCTTTGGAAGGTTGGGAGGGGAGAAAAATGCAACAATGAATGAATGGAAATCCAAACTCTCTGTAAGTTTTCATTGAAATTAATAATAAATTAAAAAAGAAAAACATTTTGAACACTTTTGCTTAGTTAATGTTATATTAACATATTAATATTGTGTTGTGAGCATGTCTGACCAGATTTTCTTCAACTTGCTTTCTCCATATTGGTTTCATGCTAACCAAACAAAAACATAAAAACAAAAGTCCTTTCCTTCTTATTGAAGTACTAGATGGAAGTTTATTTTATTTGATTCTCTGTATTTTGAAGTT